AAACTGTAATTACGCGGTATATCTATATGTTCAAAAAATGATACTAAAAAATTTAAACCTTTTTATCTAATAACTATTTACTTTTTATCTAATAAATATATTACCATGAAAAGTAACTGATATATTATTAATTAAAGGTGCTAGTACAAAGTGAACATACATAAATATGCAACTTTCGACCGATTTTCGAATCGCCTCCGTCTTCCGCTGTGCCCCTCACCTCACCGCACGCTCCAAATGCTGCAGGATGCTCGAGCAACATTTGATCTGCGCGCGGTGAGGTGAGGGGGACAGCTGAAGGCGGAGGCGATTCGAAAATCGGCTGAAAGTTGCATACACTTTATGTATGTTCACTTTGTACTGGCACCTTTAATTAATAATATATCAATTACTTTTCATGGTAATATATTGTTATTAGATAAAAAGGTTTAAATTTGTTAGTATCCTTTTTTGAAGATGGCTTGAACTTTTCATTTTGATGATATGATTTTTTTCGTATATCACTTTTTAGAGTACGAATATATCACAAATATATAAAAAAATGATTTAAAAATATTATATAACGAAAGAGTGAAATACGGCGAAAGAGAGGGGTGGTGAGGGTGGGTGGTGGAGGGAGGGAGAGGGAAGAGGAAAGGGGGAGCGATGGGTCGAAGATGGTGAAGGTGTGAATGAAAAATGAGAGGTGATGTTAGAAAGTTTTAATACGGCCTTGAATGCGAACAGAGAAGGAGAAGAAGAGGAGACGTTTGTTAATTTTTCATTAAAATCACTACTTTTCGTCTTATATCTCCAGAACGACTTGACCGATTTAAAATTTGTTTTGGCTCAAATTAGTCGTGGGATGCCACTTTTCAGAACATGTAACGTTCGGTTCAAAATTTTTTATACATATTTTAGTAGTTATGCACCCCCCAAGAATGGGCTTTGGGTGGCTCGGGATAAGATACTTGTAGTGTCTTTATTTTTAGTTTTTGAACATGGCCGGAGACACTACCGCGTCTCCTGATTTAACTTGGCGCCGACTATTGATATCAGATCTTTTATACAAATGATATATGTCATTATATTAGGTATAGTAAAAAGAAATCCATTATTTTTGCATGAAATTGAAGGCTTTATTTAATATGGTTAGAATGATCCGATTTAGATCAAATATGCACCGTTTTCGATAACTTGTTGCCATTTTGAAGGTAATTTCATTATGCCTCTCTCATAGAAACCCTCATCTCTATTGGCAAAAAACTGAGACAGTCGATTTTCACAAGCTTCTCTTGAGGTGAATTTTTCACTAGCAAAATCATTCGCCATAGACAGGAATAGATGGTAATCACTTGGAGCCAGGTCCGGACTATAAGGTGGATGCATAAGAACCTCCCAACCAAGCTCCCGGAGCTTTTGGCGAGTCACTATCGATGTGTGTGGCCTTGCATTGTCCTGATGGAACACACTTCCTCTCCTATTGGCCAACGCTGGCCGCTTCTGGGCGATTGCTTCCTTCAGACGGTCCAATTGTTGACAGTAGAGGTCCGAATTAAGAGTTTGGCCGTAGGGGAGCAGTTCATAGTAGATGATTCCCTGCCAATCCCACCAAACACACAGCAAAACCTTTCTGACCGTCAATCCTGGCTTGGCCACCGTTTGCGCCGGCTCACCGCGATCATTTTCGCTTGAAGTTGTCATAAGTAATCCACTTTTCATCACCAGTCACCATCCGCTTCAGAAATGGGTCGATTTTGTTATGTTCAGCAGCGATTCGCAGATGGAAATTCGGTCCATGAGATTTTTTTGCGTTAACTCGTGTGACACCCATACATCGAACTTCTTTTTGTATCCAGCCTTATTCAAATGGTTCCAAACGGTTTTTTGTGCAATGTTTAGCTCCTGAGCAATCGAAACAGTGCTTACATGACGGTCGGACTCGATAATTTCTATTATTTTATCGACATTTTCGACAATTGGCCTTTAGAGCGTGGTGCATCTTTGACAAAATTACCGGAACGGAATCGACGAAACCAAAATTGCGCGTGATTGGCTGTTACAGTATGAGGACCATAAACACTATTCACATTTTTAGCCGCCTGGCTTGCGTTTTCGCTTTCATCGAAGAAAAACTGTAAAATATAGCGTATTTTCTCTTTGCTGATGTCCATCTTTGACGCGCGCTCGAACAATACTGATTGTGAGTCAAGCAATCACAAAACTGTCTCAGAAGTTTTTTTTAGTACGAAATCTTATCTTTCTAACGCCATCAAGCATAACCCGATCGCACTTATACAACGCGAGATACAGATTACTAAATCCAACTATTGGAAAAATAATGGATTTCTTTTTACTACCTAATATGAAGATAAAGATAGTACTACATGGATTTTACTATTTAATTCAGTAGAATTTAATTAGAATAGTACCACATGGGTTTTTAAAGATATTAGCGCCGACTGTTGATATCAAATCTATTATACAAATGATACATGTCATTAGAATTAAGTAAAGATAAGGATAGTACCTCTTAGGTTTTTAAAGATAGTAGAATTTAACTTGGCGCCGACTATTGATAACAGATCTTTTATACAAATGATATATGTATGTCATTAATAACTTCATTTATTTGTTGGAGTTGTTTCGTCCTAAGGTATAGAGGAGTAATTTCTAGTTTACATCATCGTCTACTAAAAACAACAAAGGTGATTAGTCGGTTCTATAGCTGATTAAGAAACTGGCGTTGGTAAAGCTGGTCTAAACGGTTTTTTACCAGAAGGACGCACTCTTAGCGCATTTTTACCTTTTTTTTTTTTAAAGTTAAGTTTATGTACGATTGTAGAATTTATAGAGATTACAAAACTTAGCTGCTATGATATTGAAGAGAAATATTTTTAATAATTCCACCAGCCATAAGCCTGCTTGGTGATGTAACAAAGAAATACCAGGCCACCAATCACGTCAGACAGTTGCGTTAAATCGAGAAAATTCAACATGTGAGACGTCACTTCCTACTGCATTGCATATACTTTCTTAAATTCTTTTATAAAGAATACACTGACAACTAATGTCGGCTCACATTAGGATTTTATTGTTTCCTTTTGGAAATAATAATTTGTTATCAAAATTGTCACATCTCAAAAAAGATGTTTCCTTATCAGTAAGTTGTAAAACGAGAATGACAAAATAATACTTGATCATGTTAATATGTTCTATTAAGGAAATGTTCCTTGGCGACTTGCGTCGCGTGCGTATGAGTACGCTGATTATATCTATCGTATGTAATGCTTGAGTGTCGCTCTTGTGATGGTTATTTTGTCGAAATGAACACTACAAGACATTAAAAACAAATTATTTTTTTACCACGCCACGCTACACACACGCTCTCTCGTCCATCTCTTCTTGTTCTCTCTGCGCAGTTGTTCCGTGCATGTATGCATGCAGACAATAGCACGTCAACCTTAACGAACAACATACCGCTGTTACAAAAATCTAGGGGCTTATAATGCCCAAAGCGCGCGGACAAATCAAATGATATCTAACATACCGCCGCCCTTGGAAGCATCCGCTTTCAACAACGCAAAAACATAAAGAAAAATTTTTAATTCGCAAGAAATGTGTTGAATACAAAACAAATAATATGATTGAAACCTTGTAAGGCTAATGCGTCTTATGATTATTGCTCGATGGGCAAAACACATAACTTTGTAATGGGACGCTTGTACGTTCTTTTAACTGTTTGGACAGACACGACTCGCACAATTCCATCAGGACCAAGAAATACTTCTTCTACTCGTGCCAGAGGCCAGCATAGGAGCGGCAGATTTTCTTCTTTTAAGATTACTAAATCTCCGCACTTTATAGAACATTCCGCTTTCTTCCACTTAACACGGGATTGACAACACTGCAGATATTCTCTTAGCCAACGACGCCAGAAATGTTGTTTCAATTGTTCGACTCGTTGCCAACGTGACAATCTGTTTGCTGGTAGACATTCCAGACTGGGTTCCGGATATGCAGTGATTGGACAACCAATTATGAAATGCCCTGGTGTAAGCACTCCAAAGTCATTGGGATCGTTGGACAACGGGGTAAGTGGCCTGGAGTTGAGTATGGCTTCAACTTGCACCATCAAGATCATCAATTCATACCTCAATGATGCGTCTTTGGTTATACGTTTTAGATGAAACTTAGCGCTTTTGACAGCTGCCTCCCAAATACCGCCCATATGCGGAGCCCTAGGAGGTATGAACTGCTACTTTATCCTTTCGGTTGACATAACATCGTTTATCTTCTGTCTAGTAGATTCATCCTTGAATAGTTTGTATAATTCGTTAAGTTCATGCTGTGCAACAAAATTCAGACCGTTGTCAAAATAGAATTCCGTAGGACGACCTCTCCTAGAAATGAATCGCTTAAGTACATTTAAATATGTTTCCGCAGACAAATCGGCCGCTAATTCTATATGTATCGCTTTAGTGGATAAACATACGAATAATGCCATGTAGCATTTTACAACCTTGGCACTTTTTCTGTGCCATTCCTTATAAAAAAAAGGTCCCGCGTAATCAACGCCGCAATATTGAGACATGGAATATTGAAATACGTACTTTACAGTATTCACACGTGATTCGGGTAAATCAGCCATCAATGTGGACCTTAATCTAGGAGCGTTACGAACGCATACTACGCATTTTCTTATTACACTACGCACAGCATTACGAGCCGATATTGGCCAATAAGATTGACGAATCGCCGTGAGTGTGGCCTGTGCCCCGTGAAAATGACGCTCGTGCTCGCTAACAATAATTAGTTTTGTGAACGGATGCTTACCCGGCAACAGAATTGGGTGCTTACTATCGAAAGGTATACTGGCGTGACGCAGTCGACCACCAACTCTTAATATATCATGTTCAATAAAAGGGTTTAAATTTAAAAGATTGCTATTCCTACTTACGCACTTATATGTTGCGTGATAGAATTTATTTCTGTCTGAAAGGCCTCACGTTGTACCATTTTTACGAGACATTTTTCGCTTCCTCTAACTTGTTGACTGACAACGATTGTACAGATTCAATATTGTCCACACGAGATCTGCTTGCTTTCTTAATCTTACAGTTCTGTATGAATCTAAGACAAAACGCGGTCACGCGGATTAATCGATGCAGCTTGGAAAATTGTTCAAACAGATCCCATCTTTCAGCCTTTACCTCGGCTGCTAATGTTACACTTCTTAATTCAGGAAGTTCCACGTCTGGAACATCGAAATCTCTGATAGGCCATTCATGCTCATCCAACGACAACCAAGGAGGTCCATTCCACCAAATTTTTAGCTTATGCAACAAGTCAGGCATGACACCTCTGGAGAGGGAATATGCCGGGTTTTGTGAACCGGGAACATGTCGCCAGTTCTTTACGCTTGTAAATCGTTGAATTTCTGCAATACGGTTTGCAACGAATGGTGTCCATTGGCGACTGCAAGATCGCAACCAACATAATACAATATACGAATCAGTCCAATAATAAATGGAATCTGGTGCAAAAGGTAAAGATTTCAAGACCTTCTCTACTAATTGAGCTAGCATTAATGCGCCGCAGAGTTCCAACCGAGGGATTGATAAAGTTTTTAAGGGGGCTACACGAGACTTGGAGCACAGTAAATGACTTCGAATATGTCTTTCATTCGATGTGGTTCTAATGTAAACACATGCTCCATATGCATGCTGACTTGCATCAGAGAAACCATGAATTTCTATGCGTCGAACATCACTGAACGCAATTACCTTGCGTGGCACCTCGATACTGCTGAGGATTTGTAATTTGGATTCATAGTGCTTCCATCGTGTATGCAATTCATTGGGTAAAGATTCGTCCCAATTGACTTTACTACGCCAAATCTCTTGCATCAATATACATGCGATTACAATAGACGGCCACAACCAGCCTAATGGATCAAAAATTAATGCTATTCTCGAGAGTACCACACGTTTAGTGAGTCTCTGTAATGAAGGATGAAGTCCTAAATTATCAAATCTGAAGATGTCTGCTTCGCAATTCCAGGATATGCCGAGAGCCTTGGTCTCGTTGATACGATTTTCTGTTAAGTTAAATTCTTTGCTATGAGGACCTTCTGCATCCCGAAGGGAAGGATGATTCGATGACCACTTGCGTAATTCGAAACCTTCCTTGCTAAGTAATGCATTCGCTTGTTCATTTATTTCCAAAGCTTCCTGTAACGTAGATGCACCGGTGAGTAAGTCATCGACGTAGAAGTCACGTAAGACTATTTCTGAGCCGACGGGGAATGAGTCCGCTTCATCTTCTGCAAGCCTACGCACTGTTCTAATAGCCAAAAATGAGGCCGATGCCGTGCCATATGTAAGCGTTGAAAGTTCAAATACCTTTAATTGACCATGAGGAGATTCTCGCCAAAAAAATGCGCTGAAGAGATCTTTGCGATTCATCTACGAGAATTTGCCTGTACATTTTAGCAATGTCGGCAGTCATAGCGTATTGAAATGTGCGAAATCGTAACAAAATGGAGAATAAATCTTCTTGAATTGTGAGACCAATAAGCAATGCATCATTTAATACGTCTATTAAGCTGACACAGCCACTTCAGCACAATCGAATAAAACTTATACAGAAATTTAGTGCTTTTTTGTTGCTAATTTGTTGCTCTATTCCCGATTTTGTTGCTCCAGCCAATTCCGAGAAAACAATTGCTGTGCTAGCTTAAGAATAAAGTTAGCACAGCCACTCAAAAAAGTAAAAAAAATAAAAAAACAAGGCATATTCTTTTTGTGCTAATTTGTTGCTAATTAGTTGCTCACTTCCCGAATTCGTTGCTCCACCCTCAAACCTTGAAAAACCACCCCTAGCCACCCATAGTCAGCACACCACCTATAAACTGTTAATTTTCGAAATATCTCGACTGATTATGGTTCTCTGATTTTGTTGCTCGCGATTTCCGACGATTACGATTTTGTTGCTCCACCCCCGAACCTTGAAAAACCACCCCTATCTACCCAGAGTCAGCACACCACCTATAAGCTGCCAATTCTCGGAATATCTCGACAGATTATGGCTCTCTGATTTTGTTGCTCGCGATTTCCGTCGATTACGATTTTGTTGCTCCACCCACGAACCTTGAAAAACCACCCCTAGCCACTCAGAGTCAGCACACCACCTATAAGCTGTCAATTCTAGAAATATCTTTACGGATTACGGTTTTCTGATTACGGTTCTCGAGGTCAAGGTCATTGGGGGCAGTCTCATAATCGGTACTTTTACTTATTATGTCCACACACACACCCGCGAACGCGCCCGCCCTCACAGCAGACAGACATAATATTATTATTGCACTCGAGATCATTTTACGATCGAGTTATTTCGAGAATTGACAGTTTATAGGTGATGTGCTGACTCTGGGTAGATAGGGGATGGTTTTTCAAGGTTCGGGGATAGAGCAACAAAATCGTAATCGACGGAAATCGCGAACAACAAAATCAGAGAGCCGTAATCAGTCGAGATATTTCGAGAATTGACAGTTTATGAGTGGTGTGCTGACTCTGGGTGGCTAGGGGTGGTTTTTTAAGGTTCGGGGATGTTGCAACAAAATCGTAATTGACGGAAATCGCGAGCAACAAAATCAGACAGCCGTAATCAGTCGAGATATTTCGAGAATTGACAGTTTATAGGTGGTGTGCTAACTCTGGGTGGCTAGGGGTGGTTTTTCAAGGTTCGGGGGTGGAGCAACAAAATCGTAATCGTCGGAAATCGCGAGCAACAAAATCAGAGAACCATAATCAGTCGAGATATTTCGAGAATTGATAGTTTATAGGTGGTGTGCTGACTCTGGGTAGATAGGGGTGGTTTTTCAAGGTTTGAGGGTGGAGCAACAAAATCGTAATCGACGGAAATCGCGAGCAACGAAGTCAGAGAACCATAATCAGTCGGGATATTTCGAAAATTAACAGTTTATAGGTGGTGTGCTGATTCTGGGTAGATAGGGGTGGTTTTTCAAGGTTCGGGGATGGAGCAACAAAATCGTAATCGTCGGAAATCGCGAGCAACAAAATCAGAGAGCCGTAATCAGTCGAGATATTTGGAGAATTGACAGTTTACAGGTGGTGTGCTGACGCGGAGTCGCTAAGGGTGGTTTTCGAGGGTTGGGGATGGAGCAACGAATTCGGGAAGTGAGCAACTAATTAGCAACAAATTAGCACAAAAAGAATATGCCTTGTTTTTTTATTTTTTTTATTTTTTTGAGTGGCTGTGCTAACTTTATTCTTAAGCTAGCACAGCCATTGTTTTCTCGGAATTGGCTGGAGCAACAAAATCGGGAATAGAGCAACAAATTAGCAGCAAAAAAGCACTAAATTTCTGTGTAAGTTTTATTCGATTGTGCTGAAGTGGCTGTGTCAGCTTAATAGACGTGCTATGCGCCTGTAAAGAAAGTGTAAGTGTACTGTGCGTCTGCAAAAAATTGGTACTGTGCGCTTTCAAAGATCAGGTGCTGTGCGCCTACAAAGATTTGGTGCTGTGCGCCTGCAAATATCGGGTGCTGTGTACCTGCATGCAAATAGCTTACTATTACTATACGGTGATACAAGGGTATGTTTGAGATTTGTAATAAAATGTCGGTAAAGACAAAAGGTATTATATATACTTTGGGATCTGTTGAAAGAAATATAATCGTTCGTGATGAATGGCTTACGGACAAACATATAGATCATTTTCATCAACTTTTAGCAAGTTGTTCAGATTATAAACCTGTCGAAACCTGGCGAATACAATTGCTAGATACTATACAGGCTGTGTCAAAAGATACAAAACATATTCAAATATTGCACAGTTCGTCAAGTTCGTTAGATGGACATTGGGTATGCAGTTTTTATGATAGAAAAAATGTATTTATATATGATTCGTTGAATAGGAAAACATTGCATAATCAACATAAGCAATTCTTGGAAAAATTATTTCCAACATATGACTTTAACAAAAATCCTGTTAAATTTCCTAAAGTGCACAGTCCTAAAATGCAACCAAACTATAACGATTGTGGTGTTTTTGCTATAGCTTTTGCGATTTTATTATTATTCAACGTGAAGCCTGATAAAGTGACATATGAACACAAGTTAAGGTGGCTAGACCTCGGGATGCTGTATGCTGGGAAAAAATATTTAATAACGGTTCCAAGAAATTAATTTCTTAAAAAATTTTTTAATTGTAAAAAATCATAATTTTTTCGAAATATCTTCAGAAATTTGGAAAACTCGTACGGTAATGTTGTAGAGAATCTTTTTCTCGAAAAAATAAGACGTCGTACGTTAAAATCCATTCATTTTTTAAAAATTCTTAACAGGCGATAAGAAGAAAACTTAAGTCACTAAGAAAAATTGTTTAGCAAATTATTTTTGCATGTTTCAATTTTTTTTTCAAGTACAATATGCTTTCTCTCTTCAATAATATCATTAATAATGGAAATTAATTTCTTGGAACCGTTATTAAATATTTTTTCCCAGCATACGGCATCCCGGGATCTAACCACCTTAATGCGTTCGCATTTGATAAAAATTCTTGAAACAAATGTTATTGAACATTTCCCTCAAGATCCACAATATATTGTTCAAAAAGTACTTCCAATAGCGGTAATAAGAGCAAAAGAAGCTGAAGCGGTTCGTAAACGTATAATGCGTCAATATCAGACAAAAGAACAGAAATTGAATCAATTATTAACAAAACACTGTGATAATTATGTTATTAAAAAAGAATTCAATAAAATAAATACGCTTCAAAATATTACGAAAGAAATACAGTTATTGCAAAGTATTATGAAGAAAATACAGTTAACGAAAAATGATTCAGGGAATATTATGAACGAAGTCAATAATGTTAATAAAAGATCTGCTAAAGCAAGAGATACCATTGTTACATCCCACTAAAAATCCCTCTTTCTTCATTATTCTAAATATATGATTCATACATTTTCTTTATCTTATTTCTAGTTTGGTATTTCGTCTTAGTCAGATATTCTGTCTCCATTATATCTATATTTCGTAACCGTCCCTTTTATAGAAGGGCCTATCTTAGTTCATAAACATTCAAACAACAGATGACTCACGCTCGCATACTCTTATGCGTCACGTAGATAAAGAATATCTATTTTATAATCTTTTTCCTTCGAAGGCCTTTTTCTAGAAAAATGTTAAACAATAGCATATATGCCTAATAATTAAGTAGTAGTATATGGTAAGATCTTTCCGAATGCGAGGATGAATATCTTTTATTTTTCCTTTTCTTTCTTTTGTCTCTTATTCTTAATGAAACTAAAATCCAAGAGTCATAATATATAAAGTTATAAAATATTTTAACCCAACTTAAAATATACAACATTAATATAATTTAGAACATGTCGTTACATTTCGCCTCGCATAAGGATATTAGTTAAGGAAAATCGAACTTTTATAAATTATTAAAACTCTCGTCTACTAAGATAAGACTAGACTCGTAGTGTCGGGAGTAGGGCTTACGCGGAGCGCTGCTCCCTTATCGTAAGAAAACAAGCGCGAGCATAGGTTCCACCAAATTCTAAAGAATCTTGATTGGTC